TCCGCAATCCAAGAACAAATGCACTTATTTTAAGAAAAAATTACTTATCTAGATTTGTTTTTTTCCAGTGGGCAAGTTTAGGCAAAAGCCATGTTTTATTTTTGCATTTAACTTATTAGGTTTTATTAAGTGTAAGACAAAAACATCAAATGCCACAGAACTAGTTGTTTTTTTAATGCATCACTCTATGTGTAATAAATGGATATAATATGAATTAGGCTACATTTACTGAACTGTGATTCTATGTCTGCTCAGTCACGTCTAAATGGACTTTAGGAAAGTCTTTTTAGAGAAAGCAAAGTCAGGAGAAAAACAATACAGCATCACAAAGACCTCACATTGACTAATAAGCATGGTAGAGGAGGGCTGATGATGTGGGCTTGTCATGCCTGGGTACCTGTTGAATCATAGGGTGCATTTAGTTTATACATCGAAGCATTGCTGTGCTCTGTCATAAGGTGTGAAAACTTAAATATTGACCCGTTGGTTGTATTAGATCTACTATGGTACACTGAAAATAATAAAAAATAGATTTTACATGTTTCCATGACATCTTGCTGATGCTAAAATGTTTTCAGGAATGAATATTTCCTCTGAGCAGACGGCGCCTCAGCTGATAGCTGATTAAGTGGTGGAACTTGCAGCTTTTCTGGATGAACTTTCAGCATTTGTTGCTCAACCGTCTGAGAAAAATCTGTCAAATACAATGAAAGAATCAATGATATATTGAATGTAAAATCTAAAGTCCAATCATACCCTAATACCAGCAATCATAACCTATTTTGGTCTGGATGCAGATGTAACGTAAAGTTAAAATGAATTCTATTTTCCTCTCTACTTACGTCATTCCATCAGTTTTTTGGTGTCAGTTTTTTCCTCTAATCCCAGTTTGACCATGATCAGATCCATCCTGGATGTGAGACCTGCTACAGAAGTCTCAATCTGGAGGACCTGGCTGGTCAGCCTTTAATGGTGAGGGACAGATTGATGATTTAAGAAAAATCTGCTTTTAATCCATTTATATAGCTCCTCACATTTCATCAATCATGCAAAAAACCAGTAGTCACCTGAGAAAATGTTCCTGGTCCACAAATGTTCGACTCCTTTGATCTCCTGACGAGGCAGGAGGCTCCATAAACTCCTTCCCATAATTCTTTCCAAGGTTGTTCAGCTCGGCGTTAAGCGCATCCTGATGGAAATGAAAAAGAAGCAGCGGTCAA